AGAGGGAATTTATATATATGCAAACACACTGGGGTCACATCGGTGTTACTTTTACAAAGTGACCTTATCACCACAAGGGCATTTTTAATTCTGCATTAGCTTACGCAGGAAAGGCTAAATAAAACTGCGAATACCTGCATTGCATGAGATTTAGAAACTAACACAACTAATAAATAATGTAAGATTCAACACACTACGGAACATAATTTAAATGGCTGCATTATTTCTGTACAACAGACTTGGGGTCAGAAGTGATTTCTACTACTCATTTAGGGTTTCTCTGAAGTAGCAAATAAAATATTTGTCATAAGAAGAAAAGTAAGAGAATGTGGGCCAATTTTCTATCAGGTTTTTGTCTCTTAAACATTTCATCAGGATTCAGTAGAGAAATAGGTTTATGCTTCTCTTTATGAACACTTGCATTCACAGGGTATATGTGTTTGCAGAAGACAAATGGATCTTACCGACACTGAAAGTTTCTACGTATGTAAAGCAGGAACGAATGAATTTTGAACAGCTTCACAGAGGCTGATGTTCATAAGAAAAAGAAAGAAAAGGAGCAACAGAGAAAAATGCTGTTACTCCTAGGAAGCAGATGAGAATTTTATTTGTGTATAAGCTCTTACAGGAAGAATGCAAGCTATTATTTCCTTACATTTTTTTCTCCTCAACAATAAGATTACATGAGGTTACACTTCTCTTAAAAAAGGAAAGCAAGGCAATTCAGCACTGGCCATACAATGTAAGGTAATTCCAATGTGATTTTCCTCTATTTCTGAACTGCTGGAAAGGTGACTGATCTCAAGCCCAGAAGCAAAGAAGGAAGAAAGCAGAAACTCAAAAGCTTATGGATCCTACATCACTGCAGTGAAATTGAAAATACGCACCTGCACATGGCAGTGTCAGTGCAGCTGAGGAGCTGGGCCACATCTGCTCTTGGGAGGGGGCTGCCAGGGAGGTGGAACACCGGTGCCGAGAGCCTCTGCAACTTATTAGTGTATTCACCATTTGCTGCTGATGAGCCATGGAGACAAGGGAGATGGATTTCTGCTGACACAGCGGTTTGTGAAGCTTCTCTGCAGCATCAGATGTGATATCACCCTGAGGAAAAAAATCCTGCAACTTTTAACCTATTTTTGTCGCTAATCGCCAAAACAATCTATTCTTGAGTCCACAATACCAGACTGGTGACGGTCTCATGGAGCGCATGTCAGGGAAAAGGAATCTCAGGGAGCAAAAGTAACCATTCCTATGAATTTATTCATTGTGTTACGGTGGTAGTGAAGAGCTGGCCACGGCAGAGTCATCTCACACTCAGCTACTGCCTGTTTGTATTATGTGGGTGACATCTTTTTTTTTTTATTTTGAATGTGTTCCTGGAACCACCAAAGGAGCTCTCTTTCCTTGCCTCTAAGCACATTGAAAAATGAACTCAAACACAGCAGCCTTCCGTGTCCTCTTCTGCGTGAAAGTGCTGAGGATTCTTTGGGTTTATCTCCAATATGTTGGGGTTAGAAACTGAAGGAGATTTGTGTTACACATGAAGTTTGTATTTTTGTGTAAAATTGATTTTCAAATCTAGGCATCTCCTATAGCGTGGCTGTTCTCTGTTTTGATCACCTTTGGCTTATGTGGCATTATTGAAGACTGTAAGGATCACAGCAAGGGAGAGGTTCTGCAGAAAGGAAGGTAAATGGAAGGGGAAAATGTCTCACAGAGAAAACCATTCAGGTTAATAGCTGTAGTTTGTCTGTGGAGCTCTGCATCACCTGTAGTAAAAGTAGACCTCATTTCAGAGCTCATTTGTTCTATTTAACACAGCCTGTTATGTTAGTGTAATAACAGTACAGTAATGGACTGAATTTTATTTCCTGGATGCACTCACTTGACATGGATCAGGGTTGCAGGAGGCTAATAGTTACGTTTCAGAGCTGCGGTCAAATGCTATCTAGTTCAGTGTCTTCTCAGTGCTATATCATGGGCTGTTTTGCAAATCTGCAAAAAATAACCAGCATCACGTGGCCTCTCCTTGCTATCTAGCTGTTTGCTTGCTTTGCTGATGAGATGCATCCATCCCAACCCCCTGAGTTTCTCGGACTACAAACCCATCATTTTTTATTTCTAGGGCTGTATTGCTACAGTGTGGCTTCTGTGTGTGTAGCAGGACATCTGGGAGCCCAGTGCTTCGTACCTTGTTTGTGCTTATGCGGCCACTCGTCCGTCCTTGGACTGACCGCTGTGCGTGGCCGATGCACACAACCCCAGGTCTAGTGTTATACTGCATAATTAGTTTGAGACTTCAGATCATCTTCCAACTTCTTCTTCTTTGAGCTGCTGTATGTCATGAACGCTTTAACTGCTGAGATTTTTTTTTGTTTTGTACTTCTGCTGATGGCCTCTGAACTATTAGTCCCAAGCTAGAACTGCCACTTGCACTGACTTTTCTGTTAATTGTGCCTATTATGGGACTGCTACAAGACAAAGTTATGATTTTTGTCCTTCTGAAGGTGAATACCACAAATAAGTAATGCAGAATAATGTAATAGGCTTTGTGGTACAGAAATGGTGTATTGTTTTTCTCATAATTGGAAGACCTGGCAATGGCATTGAGCCCAGATTTTCTGTGTCAAAGCTGAAACCCTTCCTTTACTTTGCAGAACGGTCTCTTCTATAGTCAATGCTGGCTTACTCCTCCTTGGTGTGCTGGGCTGTGGGCAGAGGTTTGTATCTTCCCTCTGCCACCTACCCTGAGGGGCTGCTGTTCACAGGCAGATAGGTTGGTTTTCTCTCTTTCCCCCTGCCGCTACTGTTTTTCCTTACGTATTTGCATTTTCTGTTGTGCATTTGCTGCCAGCCTCGCAGCACAGAGGGTGAATCTGGCATCAGCAGAGTACAGGAGAGAACTGTATTAGATTCAACCTTGCTTAATGGTGCAAGTACCACTGGGTTTTGAGCAGCGTTGGGTAGGTGAGGAAGAAAGATTTGATTTTAATGAGAGATGACTTGGCACCAGCATCATAACAGGTGCAGTATGAGAATCCAGGAGTGAAAGAGTTAATTCATATTCTGTTCACAGAGATAGCTGTGAAAGAGCGTATGCTCAATGTGCATTCCAGTTTCATTTTTTTGTTCTTATTTACAGTGACAAAGAATGTATTTCCCTTTAGCTTTGAGTGCTTCATAGACCTGGAGCTGATGATGAATATGCAGTTTACACTCCAAAGGCACTGGAATCAGTGCAAGAAGGCAGAGCTTGGTGTGGTTCACAGCACACTGTGACCTCCACTGTGATTATTAATCAGTCAGGCTTTCAGGGGCACATCCACCATCCTAGATATAGCACTAGCTTACTCCTCTCTCTTTTTCCCTCATAAATGTGCTATCTGAACCTCTGGGAAACACACTGTAGATGTGTGACTTCTGTCAAAGGATACTGAGTCCTGTTTGCTCTGAATTCAGGTTTAAAAGGGTTTGGTACACTCCTCAGCAGGTTCTTAGTTTTAGTCATAGTGTTTTGTTAGACACAGCCTGGTGTGGAAACTTAACCCATGCTTAACAAGATCTCATCAATCTCCTGGAGAGCAGGATTGGCAGTTTTGGGGGAAGTGGTCTGGTTACAAGTCTGGAGATCACGAGTGGAGTTGGGGGGGGTGTGTGGGGGTTGCTTTATCAGCGTGCGGTGGTGTTAGAAAGCAGGTTGCTCAGAGGAGAGGAATTGCTTTGAAGGAATGGAAAGAAATTTGGGACTTTGAACAGGCTACTGGTGAATTCTGTATTAGAGAGAATTCTGTATTCTGCCTTTCACAGCGTTGTGGTTGCCCAAGATAGCATTGTACGTGAACAGAGAAGGAGAGATGCTCTTAAATTCCTTTGGGCTTCTTATGAACATAGTAGGAGACAAATGTGCAACCATACGGAAGCAGTGCAGTTTTTTCTGCTCATAAAGGCACCCTAGTTCCAGGCGTTACAAAACAGCAATAATTTTGTTCAAGTGACCAAATTTGCAGCTTTTCTAGTCTAAACGATTTGAAATAGGCATCATCATCCTATTGACCTCTCAGCAGAAACACGACCATGTGCAGAGCTGTTTCGTAGCCAGCTCCCTAAGGCTCTTCTACAGAGAATGAGAAGTGAGAGAAGGTTTCATTATTATACCTCTTGCCACTCTCTACACAACTGTAATCCTTAAGTGCTAGAGCCTACATTCCCAAACTTATCTTTTTGGCAGGTGGAGGGGTATTTTGTCTTTGGAGGAGGTTACTGAGAAATAAGTCATGTGTTACCTTCTGCTTGAACCACCACGGTGGCTTGCTGTCACAGTGAAAACATCACTGAGCAAGATGAGGGTAGCTGTGTGCAATTTCCCTTGGTGCAGTAAATCAAACCTTTTCATTACCCAAAGATAGACAAGAGAGAGACTAGTGAATCCGCCCTGCTCGAGTCCATGTTTCCAAACCACTTACGTCTTCCTAACAGGATTTCTCTATGTGAGGGTTGCTACACGTGCTGGAGGTCTATTCAAATTTGTTATTGCCATATGACTTGTGGACACAATCCAGAAAGAGTTGCAATGCCAAAAGCCAAAAGCTCCACTGCATGGTCAGTGACAACCACATTGACCATGACTGGCCCCAAACACACTAGTGGAACTGCTCTGTTCTTCAAAACCTGCTCCGTAGCTGCGTGGATTCATCCTTCTTGCCAGCTTTGGAGTTTGCTGTGGTTTTGAACACCGCTTGTGCCTTGAGACAAATGTGATGAGTGGAGGTGTTGAATTCTCCTGGTACTGACCAGGGTGGAGGAACGCTGGCAGACCAGTGACGGAAGTTATACTGATGCTTTATATGATGTACCTCATTTAGAGCTAAGCAGAATTTAAGATTCTAAGGGTTGGCAGCCAGACACAAAAACTTGTTGAACTCTCCTTAAATTAAGACAGAAATTGTTTTTTAAAGAAGTCTCAAGATAAATACTTACTTCTGTGTATTTTTGTTTTCAGGATGAATAAGAGATACTTACAGAAGGCAACAAAAGGAAAACTGCTAATAATAATATTTGTTGTAACGCTGTGGGGGAAATTAGCATCTGGGGCAAATCATCATAAAGGTAAGAAATTCTGTTCTGTTCTATTATACTGTTGGACCTGTGGCCTCTGTCAACAAATTCAGAAGTGTCCAGTCTATGCGACCTTTTTTCCTTATGTGTATTTGTGTCTCCTGGTATTGGTCCACTAATCAGTACCAAAGGAGGAGAGTTTTCAATGGATAGACTTTTATTCATTTCTTGAGAATTTAAGTATTTCAGTCCCATTTTCAGCATTCTCTGATTTTAGGTCATTTTGTAATGATTTGAAAAGATGGTAAAGTAAAAAAATCAAATAATGAATAGTGCTTGTCTCATAAAAATAGATCTATCAGATAGCACATATGTGTGCTACAAATGAATTCCTGGAATGAACCTTAGAAACAATTTTTAGTAACATATGTGCTCCTAACTGTGTGCAGTTACCTGTCAAGGCTAACTTCATGGATAATGTGTGCTGAATGTGATGATTGTTTCATCACCAAAAAAAGACCGTTGCTTTGCAATGTTGTCTGTCTTCTGTGCTTCATTCCTAACACCAGTCCAGGAACTTCAGTAGCTTGTGACAATGTGAGATTTGTTTCTTCTTGGTCATTCCAGCCCTTAAAATGTATACACACCAGCAGAAGCTGTGACGGTTTATTGAAGCTTGTAAAAAGGTCTCTTTTTTTGTGTGTGTCTGTGTTTCTGTAAACCCCTAATACAAGAAAAAGCTCCCCAGATTCATGTACTAATATCTTCTTAAAGGCTAATATAACTTGAAATGTGATCTGCAGTATAACACGATTTTGAAGTCCACTTCTCATCTTCATGTAGTGTCTGTTGGCTGTTTATCCACGTACTCAAGATCAGAATAAACTCTAACAACTTGGGTAAAGTAAGGCTGGGACATGAACACTACCGAGAGCTAAGGAGTTAAATACTGGGGAAGGAATCCCATAACACCAGTCGGTTCATCTCTCTATGTTCATGTACATTTTATTATTTTCCCTCTGATGACAGGATTTTATGAGCAGGTATTTTATATATCCAGCTGCTAGATATTTTTCTGCTGTGTGAAGATATCTTTCTTCAAAATACCTCACTGATTAAGGACTTCAGGATGTGGAGGCACTTTCTGCAAAGTCTTTTGTGAGCTGCAATTTGGCTGCAGACAAAACAGATTCTGATGTGGTCCTGCAGGCCACCAAAGATGGGTGTTTTGCCAGACAGGAGCCGTGCTGACACCCTTTGCTCAGCCTTTGTTCCCCCTCCGAACCAGAATATGGATTTGTGCTGTGGCTTACCAGTTTAGTCATCTGGTGAAAAAGAGCCAAGATATCCTAGCCCGGATTTAGAATTCTTTTGTCTTTGGTTATCTTTCTTTAAAAATCAAAAAGCCCATCTCCAGATCATGTTGATTCCATCCACAAAAGCTGGTCAAGCTGGTTTTGCTTCAATTCAGTTCAAACTTTGCCAAAGTATGCTTGCTACTGTTCTTGAAAAAATGATGAGTAAAACCTGTCACCAAGTATTTAACGGAAAAAAATTATAATCCTAAGGACTATTTGGGGAATTAGTGCTTCATAATTGAAAATTAAATGATCCCCTGCCAATTTTAGCTTTCCAGATATATTTATGCAAGGGAAACCTCAGCAGAGCTATACCATTAATTATCTGGACAGTACTTGGCATTTGAGCCCCAGCCGTAGAGCAGAAATAAGTTGAGAAATATTGAACTTGATGTTTTTAGATTAAAAAAAAAAATATGCACAAGCCCCCTGCAAAATTGGGTTATTAGCTGTAGGGACTTCTTTGCATTCCTGCAAGTTAACAAAAAGCTTTGGTTCTTTTTCTTTAAGTTGTAACTTATCACCCCTTTAGCAAAATATATTAAGTCTTGCAGGGAACAATAATAAGAAGAAGCATGACTTGAGTGGTTAATTTAGAAAAGCAACTGTTGTTCATGTTCAGATTCTTTTGGGAAGAAAAAAATACTCAGAAGGATTCTGGCTTGTGGATTTAGTAGATCTCCAAATCAGCTGCATTCACTGTATATGGGCGATTATTTTAAAAAGCACAAATCAGAGTTACACAGCTCAGCTACCATTGATTTCCAAAGAAACTGGAAGTTTAACTTCCCTTTGTGTCAGAGAAAATCTTCCCCCTACTCTAATAGCAGAAATGGTGCTGAGGTGCAGTCAAGGAAAACCTGACGCTGTTCACCTTTGCATGGAGTTTCCAAATACTGAGAAATATGTGAGTTTCTTCAGCAATAATTATCCCTAGCATCATTAATCTTCATTTATAGAAGTCTTTACTAATATATTGACACGACAAACCCTAATGACTTTGAAGGAGCCCTTACAATTTCAAAGATCGATAATCTACATTTTAAAAAATCTTTACTTTCCTGTTGACTTAGTCATATTATGCTTCAGTTGTACCAACTCTTAAACCCGTTTCTTTTTCTGAAGGCTATTGTAAAAGAAAAGAAAAAGAAAAAGCAGGAAAGATCATCAATGTGTGAAAAATTGTTTAATGAGCATTCTGCTCTCCAGACAGACTTCAGCAGGGATATAAACAGCTGACTCTGACAGGCCATCTCTAGGCTTGTTGTGCTTATTTCAGGGATACGGCACAAATGAGAATTCCCAAGTCAGCAGCAAGAAAACCAGAGGCTGAGGCAGGGCATGGTGAACCAGGCTCTGAGGTCCAGTTAGAAACCACCAGGGTTACAGAGTGGGATTTCAGATTGCAGCTTTTCCGTGTCAGGTGCGTGGGCACCAAGTCCCTCCTTCTTTATCTTGAGAAGACTGGTTTGAAGACACGTCTGCTCCCTTTATCTTGGCTGATTCTTAAAGTTTCATCAGTCTGGACAGAACGTCCAGGAGCTAAGATAGGTAAGTGCTCAAAGTGTTTAAAACACAAAGCTCACTTTTTCGCCGCATATGAGTTTTTCTGAATAGTTCCTGGGTGTGCACATACCTATATTCCATTTATCCTGCCTTCTGAAAAGAAACAGGAACTCTGCTTTTTTCTTTTTAATTTTGCTGGGGACCCTGATCCTATGGTGATGCGTGCCTTAGCCGAGAACATGAACATGGGAATCAGCCCGCGGTACCAGATCCATTTGTACTGCAATAGCTATGTATGAGAAGACAAGTAGAGAGTGGCATATCAATCTCCAAAAGGATGTTGTCAAGGTTATGAGTCTAAAAACTGATATACCTTGAGGGTGGCTGAAAGAAATCCATAAGGCTATTTTATTATAAGATTGATCCTGATCCTCTTACTCATTGCTAGCCCTTGGAAAACAAATAAACCTGTGCAAACATACAGTATTCACTGACAGATATGGCAGGCAGGCATCAGTTCAGCATCACTGCCGGTTTGCTATTTGTCATAGGGAACACGAATTGGTTTGGTGGCCATTGTACCACAGGGTTGTGGTTTAACCCCAGCCGGCAGCTCAGCCCCACGCAGCCGCTCGCTCACTCAACCCCGGTGGGATGGGGGAGAGAATCTGAAGGGTAAAAGTGAGAAAACTCCTGGGTTGAGATAAAGACAGTTTAATAGGGAAAGCAAAGCAAACCAAGGAATCCGTTCCCCACTCCCCTTGGGCAGGCGGGTGTTCAGCCATCCCCAGGACAGCAGGGCTCCATCACGCCCAACGGGGACTGGGGAAGACAAACGCCATCGCTCCCAACGTCCCCCCTTCCTTCTCCTTCCCCCAGCTCTATATGGGGAGCACGCCGTCCTACGGGCTGGGATCTCCCTTGGGTCAGTCGGGGTCGGCTGTCCCGGCTGTGTCCCCCCCAACCCCTTGTGCCCCCCCAGGCTCCTCGCTGGTGGGGTGGGGGGAGAAGCAGAACAGCCCTTGGCTCTGGGTGAGCACTGCTCAGCAGGGACGGGAACATCCCGGGGTTACCAACACTGTTTCCAGCACAAATCCAAAGCACAGCCCCATACCAGCTACTGTGGAGAAAATTAACTCTATCGCAGCCAAACCCAGCGCACCCTGTGGGTAAATTGTGTGTGTTCAACATGCACCTTCTGGATCTGTGGCCTGTCAAAGGATGTAAGAGTTCTGCATATTCCCAGGTTCTTTACTGGAATTAGGTAGGAGAAAACTCTAATGTTTAGATGAAGGAAGTTGCAAAGAGAAATGTGTGTGGATGCCTTAGGAGCTACCAGGTGAGGCTGGAAAATATCAGTGAGGTCTGTCAAAATATTAGATGGAGGCATCCACTTGTCTATTGTTGATCTGTCAGTCCTGCTTCATCAAACTCTTTTGTCATATTTGCTAAATGTCTCAAACATGGATAATCTTATCTGTTGTGGAAGTTTGTCCCAGAGATAGATTCTCTTAAATGAGAATGCTTTGTGTGCAGCTTTCACTAACTTAATTCTGAGTGTAATTAATGTTTATATATAGAAACAAAGGAAGATGATAGTTATTTTAGCAGACATGGGGAAGAAAGATATTAGATGTTCTTATCTAGCTTGGGCATTAATTGAAAGTTTCAGTCATATCAGGATCAGAACCTGATCCCAAAATTGCCATTTGCTTGAAGATAAAATAGAACAGTCAGTCAAACACTTCCATATCAGTGTTTGCCACTGCAATCTAAAATGGTAATACAATATCTGTTAGAATTCAGTAGATAACACTCCTTGGCCTTCTGCCAAGGTATAAAGGAAAATAATTTTCTCTGATTGCCAAGATGCTGATAGTTCTGGTGGTTCGCTGAGACATGGGTGCAGAAATCATGGCAATAGTGGAGTTACACCTATTTTTTCTCTGTGCTGCCAGCTCCATCAGAGCAAATGGCTGCTTTCATTTTTGCCCCCATTCCCGCCACCACCTTGGCGATCAAACTTGACTGTCCTTGAGGCAGCCATGGAGAGAGAATTTGGAGAGTCACAATGAATATCACACATTTTCCTTTATAATGATCACTTAAAATTATTTCTGTTTATATTTGGCAAGTATTATGGTTTCTTGATGTTTTGCTAAGACAAGTAAAAGGGAGGTGCTTAGC